GTATGTCCTGACTAACAGACATATTGCTCCATCAGTTTGGTAGTGATGATAAAAAAACGGGGGTGGGGGGAGGGGGGAACTGAATGAGGTGGAGAGAGAAGTTTTAGTCCTAATTCTCTGGCTGACTGAACTGGAACAAATCCCTTCCTCCTCTGGCCCTCAGAAAGGGCTGAAGCAAACGGGCAGTTCCCTACCTGGGTGGAGTTCGTCTATGGAATTCCTGGGCCTGAGGCCTCCACACTGGGAGAGTGGGGCTTATGCTAGAAGACTTCAGTTTTTCTCCTACACAACTCCACATCCAAGCTTTTGAGTAACACCTCTTCTGAAGCAGGGGCTCTGCAAAGAAAACCACCAACTGGATGGCTTCTTGGGCTCCTTCTGGAACCAACACTCAGAGGATCCCTCTCTCCTCCTGCTCAGTCATTCAACAAACATCCATTTGATGCCTATACTCAGCAAAGCACCTGGAGCAGAAACATGGGGAATTCAGAAAGAAGGGGCGTTCCTGGGCCTGCGGGAGCTTGGCTCCCCAGGGGACAAGGACCAGATAGGCATGAAATGAGCACGAGGGTATAAGCTGCCCCAGTATGAGATGATCCCAGGGACTGGGGAACTCTGGGGGAGATGCCAAATTGGAGAGCCTCTGGGAAGGAGCAGGGCTTTGATATGGCCAAGTACAGGAGGAAAGGCATTCTGGTAGGAAGAAGAGATATGCAAAGTTGAGGAAGGAAAAGTTTGAGGCTAGCCAACCAAGCCAGAGGCGGGGTCTAGGTCCCATCCTTCCCCGAGCACCACGCCAAGGCCCGCATGACCTCATTTCACTCTCATAGGTCCCCTTGGAGGCGGCTACCACTGCTCCCATGACCTGCCCACAGGTAAGGATGCGAGGCTTCCAGAGCTTCTATGGCCGTCCAAAGTCACCCAAGGCGGGGTATATGGTAGGCGGCTCCAGATGTTCAGTGTTCAACCTTCAGGTCTGGTCTGCTGGCTAGGGTAGTACGCCCCACACCTACACCCCCACAGTAGCTTAGGACAGGAAGAGGAGCTCAGGGGAGGAGAAGCAGAGGAAGCACGAGGCACTCACCGCTGGAAGGAGGCCAGGCGGTCCTTTAGAGCCTGCACGAAGGGGACGATCCAATGATGCCGCAGCACCACGCTCTGGGACAGGCTGACGTGGAATGCCTCCATCTGGACCAGCCGGGGGACATATGTCTGGGCGTGGGGCAGCAACATGTCCAGCAGATCCAGGAAGTCCTCCCTCGTTTCATCTGGAGGCAAGAGTGGATAGGGCGGGCCAGTCTCTTAGCCAGGGCCGTGTGGCTGAAGGAAGAATCCCAGAAGGCAGAGAAAGGCCTTCGTTACTCTGGACTTTTGGGGACAATTACTTTGAGAGCAGCCTAGCTCTATGTATTTTAATATGATTTTTGTGGTTATAGAAGTAACACACATATGCTCACTGTAAAGAGTTCAAGTACGAAAAGGAAATATGCAAAGGAGAAAGCAGGGCCTCCTGAAATCCTATCACCTAGAGCAGCGGCCTCCAAACTGTTTTGATCACCTGGGCCATTAGGAAACAAACTCACAAGCATCCCTGCAATAAACGTGTATTTATTTATGTTACAAATGTGCATGTTACAAAATTATGTCCACTGTAAAATGTACACTCTCGAGAATGGAAATTTTTTTTTATTTATTTAAAGTTTATTTATTTTTTGGTTATCTCCATACCCAACGTGGGGCTCGAACTCACACCCCTGAGATCAAGTCGTATGCTCTTCTGACTGAGCGAGCCAGGCGCCCCAAAAACAGAAACTTTAAAAAGATGAGATAGGGGGCGCCTGGGTGGCTCAGTGGGTTAAAGCCTCTGCCTTCGGCTCAGGTCATGATCCCAGAGTCCTGGGATCGAGCCCCGCATCAGGCTCTCTGCTCGGCAGGGAGCCTGCTTCCGCCTCTCTCTCTGCCTGCCTCTGCCTACTTGTGATCTCTCTCTCTGTCAAATAAAAAAAATAAAATGTTTAAAAAAATGAGATAAAAAGAGATATAGAAAGAAGTTCTAATACTTTTCTTCCAAATGGGTCATCTTGACCTCTCCCCAGGGGGCATACACCCCACTTTCAAGACCACTACCCTAGAGATCAAGACGGTTGGAGTTGGATGCCTTTCTTCCCAGCCTCTTCTCAGTGCTTGTCCTAGCGTACACGTTTTATTTGTTGAAAAGATGAGAGTGTACCATTCAAACTGTTCTTCGACTGGCTTTCTTCATGTAACACTACAGGGTGGACAGTCTTCCTTTCAGTGCAGCGGGCAAGCTCACGGTCACTGGTCCACAGAAATCCATAATCACAAACAACACTTCCTTTATCAGTCCCTATTAGACGTTGACTCTCCTGATAAATATTTAGAATGCTCCTAATTTTTCACAAAGATGAAGAACACCACGACGACCACCGCTGAATGTTCACAGATTCTTCTTTTTTAACCAAATGTGGGCCTGGAGCTGCATGGGTAACTGCTTGCGCCCTGTGTGTTAGTCAATTTATCCCAATGCCCTGGTGAGCAGGCAGTGTAGAGACTCATTCTTCTGTGGATGGGGAAATGGAGGTTCTAAGAGTTGACCTGATTAACACAAAATACTAAGGGCCACCACCTACTCTGTGTATTGTGATAAGAGCCTGACATAAATAGGGGGCCTGGGTGGTTCAGTCGTTAAGCGGCTGCCTTCGGCTCAGGTCATGATCCTTGGGTCTGGGGATCGAGGCCCAAATAGGGCTCCCTGCTCAATGGGAAGCCTGCTTCTCCCTCTCCTGCTCCCCCTGCTTGTGTTCTCCCTCTCTCTGTGTCTCTGTCAAATAAATAAATAAAATCTTAAAAAAAAAAAAAAGAGCCTGACATAAACAATCTGATTTAATCTTCACAAAAGTCCTAGGAGATACAGATTTCTATAATCCCCATTTTAGAGATAAAGACACTGAGGCTCCGGGCGCCTGGGTGGCTCAGCGGGTTAAAGCCTCTGCCTTCACCTCGGGTCATGATCCCAGGGTCCTGGGATAGAACCCCGCATCGGGCGCTCTGCTCAGCGGGGAGCCTGCTTCCCGGGAAACCCCCCCAACTTGTGATCTCTGTCAGTCAAATAAATAAATAAAATCTTTAAATAAAAAAAAAAAAAAAGAGGCACCTGTCAGTCTCAGCCTCTCGCCCTTTAGACGTTACTCACATGGCACATAGACGTGGGTAGCCCAGTTGCCCCGCTCATGGGGGAAGGTGCGCACCCGGCCTCCATGTTTTTCCTGGTCATCCTCAGGCTCTCCCTCAGTGTCTAGGAACATGTGCAGCACACTGTCGGGTACTGGCAACCTCTGGCTGGGGAGAGGGCTCTGGGAACTGCAAGAGAGAAAAAGGAAATGAGCACACTTAGCCTCCTGGCATTCTCTACCTCTGTAGCTACAACAAAAGTCGTAACCCCTTATCCAGGGAGATTGTGTGCATCCATTTCCCACCAGGTGCTGCAGGCAGCTTCTAGATAACCACAAAACTCTTTCCCCAGTACTGTCTCACTGGGGTCTTGCAACAGCCCTGGGAGGCTGACTTTAGCTGGGGGCCTGGTTCCCACGGGAGACTACTGGTCAGGCAGCACAGTGTGGTTCAGAGGTCACATTCCCTAGGTAGACAAGCCTGAACTGGAGTAGCGCTTCCTAGCTTTGGGGTCTTGGGCAAGTCATGTGCACTGTGTAGGCCTCAGTTTCCTCATCTGTAAAGTGTATCCCGACCTGATAGAGCTATTGTGAGATCAACAGAGATACCACTGCTTGAAAGGCACTCTTAAAAGCACCAGGCGTGGCACTTGAGAACAGAAGCTCCACGAAGTCAGACTTTGACTGTTTCGTTCACTGCGGAGTGTCCCAGTCCGAGCCTGGCGCAGAGCGGGTGCTCCATGAGTATTTACCGGATGAATGAAAACACTCTCCAAATGTGGAAACGGACCTAGGACGATGCTGTGGGTGCGTGCCAGGAGATCCCCGGCGGCCAGCGCTGGAGGCTGGACCCGAGGCCACGTTTCCTGCCTCCTCACCTTGGCCTAGCCAGGTGGGGGCACTCTGGGCCTGTGTCCAGGGCTGTCCTCCGGACCCTCCTTTCCCGCTGTGCCCCTCTTCTTTCCCTGGCGAGCCGCCCGCATCATTGCCCCTTTCCCCCCAGACGCTCGGGTCCCGTCGAGGTGTCGCGCGAACCAGCACCCTCCCGAGAAAGATCTCCTCGCTCCTTACCGCCGGCAGCCTCCAGCTCCGGGTCGCGCCTGGGCCCCGGCCGCGGCCTCGGCCTCATCCTCATCCTCCGAGCCGCTGCTGCTGTAGCCCACCAGGGGCGCGGCACTCATGGGGCCTTCACCACAACAGGCCGTATCCGCGACCGATCGCACCCGGAATTCCGCTGTGCCGGAAGTGCCCTCCCGGGGGCGGAGCCAGGGGAAGCACCGCCTCGGGGCGGGGCCTGGAGGGGCGGGGCCCCACAGGACTCCGGCGGGACTCTACCACTCAGACCACGCCGCCTGCCAGCTCGCAGCGCCTTGACGGCTACCTGGAGCCTCCCGGAACCCCACACCTAGCCTCTGTGTGCCCATTTCACAGATCGCTCTGGGCCCTGACCTCTCTGTTCGCTCCTCTGTCAGCAGCCATCCGCGACCAGACCTCCTTGCCACGGACGGTCGCTGGATCAGCGGTCAGCGCCCTAGACCCAGCGGAGATCACTGCCCTCGAGGCCCAGACGGGATCAGAGGTCCGGGACACCCCTCCTCAAGCCGGTCCAGGGTCCGAGCTTCGGGGGCCCGTCTCCTAAGAGCAAGCTGATTAGTCAGAGGCGGGTCAGTTCCAGAAGATCAGAGGGTCTAGGAGACCCCTCCTCTCAAGAGCGGGCGTCGGGCCGCGGGCCGGGCGCGCCTCCTCCCCTAAGGCCGAGCAGGTTGGTGGGAAGCGGGGCGCCCTCCCTGGGTCAGCTGAGGCGTGCAGGCCAGGCACCTGGAGAGCCACCCCGCACGCCCCACTGTCCGACCCGGCCCGGCCGCGGGGTCCCCGGCAGGGGGCGGCCTCGCTCCGTGCCGCCCGCTCCTCCTGCAGCCGCCACCGCCCCGGCTGCCGCTCCTCCCCCGGCCCCGCCTCCCTGGCCCCCGCGCCGCCCGCCTGTCCGCCGGTCTCTGCAAGGCCGTCGGTCCGTCCGCCCGCCCTCCCGGCGCTCCTCCGCCCTGGCCCCGCTATTCCGGCCACGCACGTCGCTTCCTCGGTTCCGGCCGCCGCTAGCCCGTTCCCCGCCCCCAGGCCGGCCGCCGCCGCTACTCGAGGCCGGGGATTGGCAGTGCGCGTAGGCCGCGCCGCCGCCGCTGGAGCCGGAATAAAGGGGCGGCCGAGAGAGCAGCCGGTCGCCACTCGCCCCGCGCCTGACCCCGCGGGCGGCCTGGAGCAGGTGAGCGGCGGGGCGCTCGGGGCTGCGTCTGGGGGCCACTCCCGCGCCCGCCGCACCCCTTCCCCAGCCGGCCCGCCCGCCACCACCACCTCCCCCTCTCCACCTCCGGCCCGACCCGGCGGCCTCCTGAGCTCTGGGGCGGCCCAGGCCAGCCAGGGCGCGTAGCTCCTAACCGGGCCCAGCCTGCGGCCCTGGGGCCTTCTTCGGGCCCAATCGCCTGCGGGGCCGGTTCCTCTGGCCCGTAGCGGCCCGGCCATTCCTGGTGAGGGCTGACAGGAGGCAGCCCAGCTGGGCAGGCTGGCATTGCCGGCAGGGAGGTGATCGCCTTTCATTCGGTGTCCCAGGGAGGAGGAAGGGCTGGCGTGGGGCGCAGGTGGGGGCCTCCCTTTGCCTCCCTTATTCTAGTCTCTCCTCTTTGCAGCACGATCAGAAAGGCCTCCGGGCTGCACCCCTGGAAAGGGCAGGGTGGGCAGCTGAGCTGGGGGCCCAGGATCTGGAACCCTGGTTCTGGCAGCCATTCATGCCGGAGGGGGGAAAATAATCATCGGGGTTGGCACATCTGGACCTAGACTGAGCTCAGGGTAGCTCCTCTTCCCTCTTTCCTGGGGAGGCTTCCCACCTTCTTGCTCATGCAACCTGCTGCTTCCACCCCGAGCGGGGCTCCTTTCCTTCTTTCCTTCCTGGAAGATGCTGTGGGTGACAGTTTTTGGTCTGACTCTTAGGTTTCTGGGGCAGAACAGTTAGAGGCAGGGCTGGCCTTTGAAGGCATCCCCCTTTTTCTCCTTTTTCCTTCAGGAGAAAACTTAGAAACTTTTCGATGTTTGAGGCAGAGAAGCTGGAAACCTGAAAGTCGGTTGCATGTAATTCTAAAAGTTCCTCCCTCTCGCTGTCATTACCTTCTGCTGCCACAAAGTGGTGAGTTAGAGATTTGCCTGGGATGGGTGGTCTTTACCTTCCATTGATTACCCAAAATGTTAGAGACTTGGAGCAAGGGAAGGCAGTCGTCTCTGGAAAGATTGTCTTTTCAGGTTGTCCTGGGAAGAGGAGAAATGCTCTGTGCTTAGCATGCTTCTTTCCACATTGCCAAGGGAAACTTCTGATTGCCTACTTTTTCCTGCAGGCCTGGCCACTGTGATTTGGAGGATTTAGGAGTTTTGGGTGCTCTGGGAGATAACTAGAGCAGGATGTTCTGCTGTGGAGACCTCCAGGCTGGGTGGGTCTATGGACCAATCATTGTTACATTGGCTCAGGTCTCTGCAAGGCCATCCTAACGGTTGTGTGGACAAAGAATAGGCACGTGGTCAGTGGTCAGGATGGAGGGCCTGGGGGATAGTTGAGAGGGATGTGGGTCAGCCCCTCACAAAATAATTTTTTTTTAAAGCTTTTTATCTATTTGACAGAGAGAGAGAGAGACAGTGAGAGAAGGAACGCAAGCAGGGAGAGTGGGAGAGGGAAAAAGCAGGCCTCCTGCTGAGCAGGGAGCCCAATGTGGGGCTCGATCCCAGAACCCTGGGATCACGACCTGAGCCACCCGGGTACCCCACAAAATAAGTTTTTTGAAATGGTCCTCAGTTCCTCTAGTTGTTTTAAATATTGGCTGCTTGAGGCCATTTGCCATTGGGGTTCAGGTCTAGAAGGCCTGGTTCTCCGTCCCAGCAGGCTATTACCCTGAGCAGGGATGTCCTGGGTTGAGATTCAGGGCAGCCAGGGGAAAGGAGTTGGAAGGCCTTGGGGTGTCCTCCACCAGTGCCTCTCTGCTTTTATCTAATAACATATTGGACTTCCAAGTAAGAATTTTATTTGCAAAAAAAGTTAAGTTGCTGAAATTGGTTTGGACGTCATAGCCCTCCCTCTTCCTTTGGAGCATGAGCAGAATTTATGACTTCTTGGTATTAGGGGCAGATCATCCCAGACCGTTATCTGTGAGACAGCTGACTAAAGAGGGCTGGCTGGAGGCTGGGGAGGCAGGAAGCTCTCTTTGCTCGAGGGGCTGAGCCCTCAGCAAACTTCTTTGGTCTTGTGTGAAGAGAGCGGGTCTTCCAGCCCTAAACTCCTCTCTCTTCCCTGATGTGTCCACAGTGTTGGTGAGTGCAGGCAGAATGGGGAGAGGGGTCCAGGGACCAGCTGTGTATCTCTCTGTGAAGCTCACGGTTTTTCTCTTCCCTCCAGAACCAGTCATCGGGGAAGGCAGAGCCCCTCCGGCCTCGAGGGCACCCTGCTTTGGAGAGCCACGCCAGCCTGTAGGCAGAGCCTTGTGGTCCGCCTAGGTTAATGCCTCAGGCTGTCTGACCAGCCCCTCTTCTGTGCCTTGTCCGAGGTTTTGGTCCATACCTGATCCTGGGCAGCTTCTCCCTGGGCTGGATCGCCTTAAGCGGGAAACTGAAGCCATTACTCTCCAAACCCTGTTTCATCTTCCCAAGCATGTCGGAGAGCTGGCAGCAGCCCCCGCAGACGCAGCCGCAGCAGCCGCAGCCACCGCAGCCTCAGCACCACGCAGAGCCCCCGCCGGCCCTGGCTGAGCACACCCTGCCCCCGGGCTCGGCCGAGAACCCCCTGGGCTGTGCGGTCTACGGCATCCTCCTGCAGCCAGATCCGGGCCTCCAGCCCCCGCAGCACGCGCCCCTGCAGGCGGCCAGCGAGCCGGGCCCCAAGTGCGGCGTGTGTGGCCACGACCTGGCGCACCTGTCCAGCCCGCACGAGCACCAGTGTCTGGCGGGCCACGACCGCTCCTTCCAGTGCACGCAGTGTCTCAAGATCTTCCACCAGGCCACGGATCTGCTGGAACACCAGTGCGTGCAGGCCGAACAGAAGCCTTTCGTCTGCGGCGTCTGCAAGATGGGCTTCTCGCTGCTCACGTCGCTGGCGCAGCACCACAGCGCGCACAGCGGCACGAGCGGCCTGGTGAAGTGTTCCATCTGCGAGAAGACCTACAAGCCGGCGGAGGCGGCAGAACCCGCGACAGCCGCTGCAGCCGCCACCCCCCTGCCCCCAGCCCCCGCGCCGCCGCCGCCGCCGCCGCCCGCCGTGGCCCCTGGCGAGCAGGCGGACAAGCCCTACAGCTGCCCCATCTGCCAGAAGCCCTTCAAGCACCTGTCGGAGCTGTCGCGGCACGAGCGCATCCACACGGGCGAGAAGCCGTACAAGTGCACGCTGTGTGACAAGAGCTTCAGCCAGTCGTCGCACCTGGTGCACCACAAGCGCACGCACAGCTCGGAGCGGCCGTACAAGTGCGCCGTGTGCGAGAAGACCTTCAAGCACCGCTCGCATCTGGTGCGCCACATGTACGCGCACTCAGGCGAGCACCACCTGTTCCGCTGCAACGTGTGCGAGCTGCACTTTAAGGAGTCCTCGGAGCTGCTGCAGCACCCGTGCACGCCGAGCGGGGAGCGGCCGTTCCGCTGCGGCGAGTGCCAGAAGGCCTTCAAGCGGCCGTCGGACCTGCGGCAGCACGAGCGCACGCACAGCGCAGAGCGGCCCTTCAAGTGTGACCTGTGCCCCATGGGCTTCAAGCAGCAGTACGCGCTCATGCGCCACCGGCGCACGCACAAGGCCGAGGAGCCGTTCAAGTGCGGCCTGTGCGAGAAGGGCTTCGGGCAGCCCAGCCACCTGCTCTACCACCAGCACGTGCACACCCTTGAGACCCTCTTCAAGTGCCCCGTGTGCCAGAAGGGCTTCGACCAGTCGGCCGAGCTGCTGCGGCACAAGTGCCTGCCCGGCGCGGCCGAGCGGCCCTTTAAGTGCCCCGTGTGTAGCAAGGCCTACAAGCGCGCGTCCGCCCTGCAGAAGCACCAGCTGGCGCACTGCTCGGCCGCCGAGAAGCCGCTGCGCTGCACCCTGTGCGAGCGCCGCTTCTTCTCGTCCTCTGAGTTCGTGCAGCACCGCTGCGACCCGGCCCGCGAGAAGCCGCTCAAGTGCCCGGACTGCGAGAAGCGCTTCAAGTACGCGTCCGACCTGCAGCGGCACCGGCGGGTGCACACGGGTGAGAAGCCCTACAAGTGCCCCAACTGTGACAAGGCCTTCAAGCAGCGCGAGCATCTGAACAAGCACCAGGGGGTGCACGCCCGCGAGCAGCAGTTCAAGTGCGTGTGGTGTGGTGAGCGTTTCCTGGACGTGGCGCTGCTGCAGGAGCACAGCGCCCAGCACAGTGCCGCCGCTGCTGCTGCCGAAGGCGCGTACCAGGTGGCTGCCTGCCTGCCCTGAGTGCCGCCCAAATGCGCGCCTCCGAGCGCCCCCAACGGCTCCTGCCCCGCACTCTGCCCGCCCGTGCCCTCCGCAGCCAGAGGGTATGGGTAGAGGCTGGGTGGGGGTACCCAGCACTCCTGGTACCCACCTGGAGGTAGGGTGTGGGGAGCCAGATTGCTGTGGCTGGCCCTGATCCCACAAACCTCTTTCCCATTACAGGATTCCCTTACTTGAGAGCCATCAGCCTCCCTTATCTCTGGGAGCCTGGAACCAGGCTGGAAGTCAAGTGGACTGTCTCAATCCACCCCAAGGTGGGATTGGTGCCAGCCCCACCTCCCCAAACTTTTCAGCCTAATTAGAAACCAGATGGGGTAGGAAAGAGGATGGTCGTGGTCAGGCCTGGGAGAAGGGCTAGATCCCGTTTGTGGGCTGGATGTAGGGCAGCTGTCCTCCAAGTCACTGTTTGAGGGAGCAAGCCGGCTTCGTGATGTAGTCCTGGGGACCAGGAAGGGCGGACGGTGAGCCTGAGCTGCAGGCCTCTCCGTCTGCTCCAGCTAGGGGCCAGTGTGGCCTCCCAGGTTCCGACAGGGAGACAGACGGGAGGGCTGCACATCTGTGAGCGGGGTGGGCCTGGAGAGAATCAGCCCTGCCAGAAGGGAGGAGGCAGAGTTCTCCCATGACACACTCAGCCAGGGACAGTACCGTCCACAGGGAGAGGAGGAAAGGCAGCTTTCGTACTGAGGGCTGCTCCTGCTATACAGAAAGCGCTCCTCCTACCTTTGCAGCATGGTTCCAAGCTCTGGGGAGTGTGTTCTTGGCCTGACAGAACTACTGATGTGAAAGAAGGGGATTGTTAGACCACCTTGGTGCCTGGGAGGAAGCAGAGCCAAGTCCATGATCTTACCAGTGGACAGAAACAAGTGCCCTCCCCCTTGAATGTGTGAACCAAAGTGTCAAGGGCGGCCCCAAACAGCTTGCCCCAGCTCTGCTTCTGGGCTAAGACAGGGCCTGGGCACCCAGGGTGGGGGAAGTGAAAGGACTCTGACTCCACAGTGCTCTCCCAGCCCCTGGGAATCCTCCCCATCAGTCTGGCTCCTGGCCTGGACCCCGGGGGTCTTTCGCTGCCAAGGTGCCCTGGACATTATTCACTGACTTCCAAGGCCAGAGATTCTCTCTGGGGTCCTCCTGGGGACCCTGTAGGTCTCTGCCTGCCCACGGGGGCTCATGGAGTCAGGGGTGCCCAGAGCAATAGGGAGCAGGCCAAGGAAGGGGCTGTTAAGGGAGCCAGTAGGTGCCTGGAGTTGACTGAGATTGCTGGCTGGCGGGGGTGGGGGCCCTCGGGAAGCCCAAAGGACCTTTATTATCAAAATGATTCTTCTGAACCCAGCTGTGCCCCTGCCCCGCCCTCTTCCAGCCCTCCTTGGGCGTGGGTCTTGAAAGACTTTAATCAGTGCTCACACCAAGGGCCCAGAGGAGCAGGGAGGCCTGCCTTGTCTCGTCTCGTTCTCACCTTGAGAAGGCTGAACAGCCCACATCCGCCTCCTCTCTGGGACTGGGCTCCCTTCCTGTGCCTGCAGAGAGGGGCTGGTCCTTCCCCTCGGTGCTGGCTCTCAGTCACAATGCCTCAAAAGACATGGAACCCAGGCCGACAACAGGCCCAACTGCTAATTTTTCCCTTTCCTTTTGCTTTCTAAAAGCAGTTGTTATACTGTTCATAACATTGTATAGTTTAATTTCATGTCATTTTGGATCTTATATAAAAATGTGAAAATTTGGATTTTTAAAAAGAATGACTCCATTTTAGATAGCCCCTTTTGATGTTAATATATAGTGAGTCCAATGTATGCTTTAGAAGTAAAGACATTGACCATCACAGACCAAAGCACTGCTCATTCTGGTCATTCTTCCCCTGGGGAGTGATGGGGCACGGAGAGAGAGACAGAGGGGTACAGGAGCGGGCAGTCTCCTGCCCTGCTGGAGGTCTAACTGCGCCCTGGTGGAGGGAGCCAGGCTGCGAGGGATGGGCAGCTTGTGGATGGGGAGAAGCCAGGAGCCTGGCATGGCAAAGCCTGAATGATGGCCCTGCCCTTGCGGGAAACCAGGGCTTGCTCAGTGCAGTGGTGGCCCCAGCCAGGAGCCCTGACCCAGAGGACTGCCTGCTCTTGCCCCACTCTCCCGTGGCCACCCATCTGCAGCTAGCCGCCTCCCTTCTCCACCTTCCAACCCGCCTTTCTTCCGTCCCCTGCCCCAGGCCCCCAGTGGGACAGCTGTGACTCAGGCTCCTTCCATTTCTCAAAGGCAGGGGTAGAGATGGCGGGAGAGGGAGAAACAGCCTACCCAGGCCAGGGGAGGGTGGTCCGCTCCTTACTCTGGAGGTGGGGTGGGGAGAGTAGTAAGTCAAGAGGATGAGGAGCTGCCCATGCCACGGGGGGCTTCAAAACGGTGCAGAAGGCTAGTGGAAAGGCCAAGGCAGACCCTAGAGGTGACACACCCCACACTCCCCTACTCCCTCTGTGTGTGCCCATGCTTGCGAGGACCTCCCTTGAGGAGCCATGCGGTCCCTTACTGCAGGCGTCCGCTTGTCAGCCGGAGGACACCCAGCGCCCCTTGTGCCCAGCCAGGCTTCAATCCTGCCTTCCTTGCTAGCCGCGTGACCTCAGACAAAACCCACCTACCTTGAAGAGACTTCTGGAAAGCACTAACATGTGTTTTATAGCTTCAGGTTGGCCCTCCTGAATGGATGATGGTCTTCTTTGTGTGCCTGGGGCAGGAGCCCTGGTGGGGCAGGGCTGAGCTCACCAGGAGCCTTCAGTGACTTTCTCCTGTTCTGTCTCCATCCTCTCTTCTTCAAAGCTCCCACCTGGCCCTCAGCCCTGCACTCCAGTCTGCGACCAAACCAGGGCAGTGAATGGAGCCTGGGAGCCTGGGTGTTCGGGTTCAAGTTCTAGCCTTTCGATAAAAAGTGACCCCAGGCACCTGTTACCTGCCCCTCTTGGGGCCTCTGTTCCCCATCTGAAGCAGAGGTCTTCACCCTGATCTCAAAGGGTCCTTAGAGACCTGACACTCTGATTCTGGGAAGGTGACAGGATGAACCTGTGTCTCCTTTTCCTCTCCCTCCCTCTCCTGGCCTCCAGTCTGTGGTCTTCCTGTCTCAGCCTGGCTTCAGCTGTAAGCGGCAGGAGTGGTGCAGACCGGCTTGAGCAGGTGTCGCTGCAGCTGATCACCGCCCACCCACAGGCCCAGGAGCCCCCACAACGTCCTGCGTCCCACGGTGGATGTGAGTTTCCCTCTTGTAGAGCCGACCATTTTCATGAGGGGACTTCGGACACTGTGATGCAGGGTGTAAACTAATACCACCTCCTTTGGTCTCTGGGGCATCATGCACTTTGCCCTGACCACTGACAGCATAGGGTGAAGGTGGGACCTTGGGGTGAGCTTTGACATCAGGACGACTGCCGATGGGGCAGAGCAAGAGGGAGAGGTGGACAGAAACCTCCCACTTGGGAGTTTGCAACTCTAGGGTGAGGGCACAGTGAAATGGCTTATGTGGAGGGTAGGGCATATGGTGGCCACTCAGGAGAGCAGAACAGTTGGAAGTCAGAGGCCAGAGGGGCTGCCCTAACTCTTCCCTCTAATGCCGGGGCTCTCCTAACCCCTACCCTGACACCCCACTCATAACCCCTATCCCTCCACCTGCTGGTCAGAGCCTCCTACCATCTCCAGGAGATGGGCTGGGCAGACCTGAGTAGTCCCTTCTGGCTGACCAAAGCCACGCATTGGTGATGAAGGAGGCCTGGAATTGTGGGGGCTGGTCTGGTAGGGAACAGACAGGGGATGGGTCAGCCCTGGGCTCTGAACCTCCCAGGCCTGGGGCTCTGGTTCCAACCCACTCTTTGCGGCTCAGGAAGCCAGGCACAGTGGCTGGCCGTGGTGCTGGGGCCCAGTGCTGGCTCCCGGTCTGACCGGGGGTAGGAAAGCTCCTCACCAGCTGGCAGAGGGGGTGGCCAGCCCTCTGGTGGGCCCTCGACTCCTTGAGGGGTTAAAGCCACCAGGCTCTGTCTCCCCATCTGCGCAGAGGCCTCCTCAGACGCCTTTGTGGAACTTTTCTATGTGTCTCCAGTCCTCCATCCTGACCTCCCACCTCCCTCCCTCATTCCCTCCTCCAGAGCAGGCCTGACAGGCCCATGGGCTGTTCCAGTCTTGGATGTTGGCCCGGGGCCTCCTAGGCTGCGCCTGGCTGGGCTGTGATAAGTCCACATCCCATCCTCAAAGGTGGAGGGGGGGTGTTTCTTTGTTCCTTGAAGGTCATGCCTCCAGGAAAAGCCGTGGCCCTATTGATTGTCACAAATCTACAAAGATTCTAGGCCCGGGATGCCCAGTTGTCCTCAGGGTCCTGAGAAGGAGGTCAACAGGAGGGGTGAGAATAGGGGGCGCCCGCGGGGTCTCCCTCTTCCCTGTGCGTGCCTCCTCAACCTAGGTCTGTGTTCCTGCCTTTGTTCATCCCTGAGCTGCTGCTGCAGGGGCACACAGCTAAGACTTCAGAGGAGAGAGGTTTGAGGATTTCACGTATCAAAAGGTAGGGTCAGAAATGTCAAAGCTTCAGATTTTTAGCACAAAAGATTAAGCGTGAGTCCTCCCTGATCCTCCCCTCACCCCTGATCCATCCCCATTGCCAGCCCCAGGCCCTGGGTGAGGATGTGTTTTGTGTGTTACTTTGTCATGAACACAACTATTACTTTGTAGTAGTTGTTTCATTTAGCCCAGATCTGTGTGTGGTTCCTAGGTGGCCCCAGGCCCCATTCTTGAGCCTCCCTGTTCACTCAGAGAGATAAAAGAAGCCTCCAAGTACAGTATTTCCTTAGAGCCAACTGTGGGCCAGAGGCTAGGAGTCGTTCTATTGTATCGGGGAAGTCTGGCGGGGAGAAGGGAGCACTTGAGAGAGGCCTGCCTTCCGAGAAATGGTGGGACTTGGGTAGGAAGAGATGGGGAAGGGATTTCTGGTGGGAGGAAGTCTTTGAACAAAGGTGAGGAGGCAGGCAAGAGTCTGGGTGTTCAGAACAGCAAGGAGGCTGGTGGGGAGTTTGGTAT